CTCTCAAAAACAGTGGAGTTTACCTGTAATAGGCTGAAGGTTATATCAGCGTCTTATTCCAATGATAGTGTTCAGAAAACATCTGTATTGCTCATGAAAATGTGCATAGGTGGTGTGACTACACTAAATATAATCATTTTGAGACTGCTCTCTTTAAGGGTAAAACAGCAACCTACTCTCACAGGCTGGACTCCGAGGTCCAGGTGGGGACAGGGCTGGTTCCCCTGAGCCTCCCTCCAGGGCCTGTGGACGCTGTCTTCTCCCTGTGTCCTCACAGACACGTGCTTGTTTGCATCTCCTGATCTCCTCTTAGAAGGACACCTGTCCTATGGGATCAGCGCTCACCCTACTGCCCACTTTAATCGCCTCTTTAATCACCCTGTCTCCAAATGTGGTCCCATTCTGAGGTCCTGGAGTGAGGGCTCCCTCACATGACCCCGGGGGCGGGGCACAGTGCAGTTTATAATCAATGACGGAAGTCTTACTGAATTTCCAACTTTTGTGTTTTCTCCCAGAGAAAGGGCTCCGCTTAATATTTAAACACATTGTCCCTGTCATTAAAACACAAGACATAACAGGGAATTGAGAGGAGATGTCAAAGCAGGAATATAAACAGAAATATAGCTTATCAATTTTCTGACCATTGTTTACTATATTACATATATGTATATATATGTATGTTCTCACACACATGCATAAAGTCAGTGCACATCATAACCTAAAATGAAAATGTGTGCTTTTACACTGTTGGTGACGTATCTGGTGTCTTTAAGTTCAGATTCATCCATATATAAATGCTGTCCCACTTTCAGGGTTCACATATTCACTCCCTGCTGAGAAGGTGCAGAATAATTTCAAGTTTAATGCCATTCGATAGAAATACTCCACACGTATGTTGTTTAAATTGCATGGGGAAGGATGAGAATCCAGCAGACTTAATCTCCTTTGAATCTAATTGACTTAAACTCCCAAGTTTAGAAAATTTAATATATTCAAGCAATGATTTAATGTTTCTCCGTGTTTTCAGATGTTAATAGATGTCACTAGGAAAAAAAAATCAGTAATTTGTAATTAAATGGGTCTGAGAAACACCATTTGCTACAAACAGTGACTATCAGATGTGCTTGTTTGTTCTCAGGTTACCAGGCAGACTGCCTGTCCGCCTCCTTAGGGGTGGGGTATGGATGGAGTATGGTGCTTCTCTGGTGTGTGTGTCCCTGAGACCTTTTCCTTTCTCCCGTGATGGACCTGCTGAGATTAGGTTCTGTGGAGCCCACTTTGGAGAGCCTGTGCTATGGCTTCTCTTTGTGCATGTCATGGTACGTGCTCAGCAAAGGCTCACCCGTGTGGCTGGGTCACGCAGGGGGACACCTGTGCGAAAATGGAAACTGTGTGCCTAGAACAATAGAAGGGCTGACAAAGACATCCATGTCGTCAGCAAAGCAGTTCTGTACGTGGTTGCCCCAGAGACACCCTTCCTCCTTCCATGACTGGGCTTCACGCATTCCCGGGGAGCCCCTCCCTGTGCCCCTCCCACCTGCCCTGGTGATAGGCATTGGAACCACGGTTCCCATCCTACTGTTCTAGGTAGATGGGCACCAATCGAAGCACAGGGTGTCGACTGTTTACCGTGATCCCTGGAGTCAGGGCTTCAAAGAGGACCAACACCCATGTCACCCTCAGGCATTAATAAATGACTTGGGGATGTGGAACATAGTCAACATCCCGTTGTGAGCCAAACGGGGAGCAAGTACTACATACCAGTTTTGCAGTATGACTCAAAGAAAAAAAAAACCAAGTATGTGTAATGTAAATGGTCTCATTTGCACTGATCAGGAATCAAATTGGAAGACGTGTACATGTTGATACACTGGAAGCCACTTCCATGATTCTTATTTGTGAGGATAAATTTAGATTTGTATCGAAGACTCCTAAACGTGCATGCTTTCTCTGATTAGCCTGAACTTCTCTACCTGAAATTAGTGTAATCACGGAAAATCATCTTGGTATAGCAAATAGAAATGCCTTATTTTCTAATTTCGAGCATAATCATCTCCCTGCTTGCATACTGATGAGAAGTTAATCAAACTGAGGAATCTGTGAGAGTTTATGACCCTATAAATATTAACACTGTGTAAGTTGATGTTTTATTTTTCAGAAATAAATTTCATAAATATCTATTTCTTTGTGTATACCTGTCGATGGATAGCTCTTTTCCTCTAAGTATGAATATCTTCCATTTTCCATTGACCATATTTCCCACATTTTTATATCCAGCAGAACGATGATTATTCATAAGCAATAGGGTGTACAGTATTGATCAGAATTGAAAATGAAAGGTCAGAAAACATCACGTGTAATCACATTTTGGAGCCACATGTCTAAACATACGTGAGTCTTAAATCTGTAGGCTTCACTGCATACCCAGATCAGAAAGCCAATCTATAACCTACATCTTTGCAAACGGCAGAGTCCATTGCCAGACAACTAAGATTTGCTCAAGACAAACTTCGAGCTGAGTTAGAGTATTACAATTTTTATATGCTAATACGAAGTTGGACTTTTTGTTAAGATTGTTGGATAAAGTTACTTCATAAGTTTATGCATTTCATCTACTCAAGACCTATATTCCTTAATGCCATTTCTCCTGTTGTTCATTGGTGACTTTGATAGACCCTCAAACTTCAGTCCCTCCAGTTTAAAACCGAGGATAGCACTCAGTGTTATGGCAACGGCCATTCAAATGCTTCCTAAACACGATTTTACCACACGACTCTCTTAAAATCATCATTAGATTGATTTCTTACAATCATGTATCTTTGTGTGTGTCTGGAAAAAATTCCAGGTTTACATGAGTAACCTGGAATTATTAAATACGTATCTGCAGAAATGTTAATTTAGATATCTGTGTCCATCTCCATCTCCCTGTCCATCCATATCTATCTAACCTTTATCTGCAGTGATATGATAAACAATCGAATAGTGTGTGGATAGTGGAGAAGGGTAGTGCAGGGGAAGAATTCCGCTTTTTTCTTTATAACTGCCTGAGTTTTATGTTTATGCCAAAAAGGTATATAAGCTTTTTTAATAAAAAAAGAAAGGAAAAGGGGAAAAGCCCATTTAAAACACCTTATAAATGTTACATTAGTGGTTTTATACCCATAAAATGTATAAAATAACTTCTGTTAAAATGGTTGGCAAATAAGGCATGGTCTATAGCCAGTTTATAAATTGGATCTCAACTTTAAATCAAGAATTTGCAGTGAGAAATGGCAACTTCATATGACTAATAGTGGTAGAATTTTACACTGCGATTGTGGTTTTATTTCCAGGAAATAAGAAAAATACATTTGCATTCAAAAGCGTGATTTTTTTTCATAAAACTAGAAAACGTGTAGAACAGTGATTATTTGTATAGGTGTCTTGATGGATAAATCAAAACACCTACAATTTTAAAACCATATATTATATAAGGAGTATATATATCATATATATATATATATTTTTTTTTAAAGATACAGGTCACTTCCATTTCCTAACTTTAGCAAATGACCCAGCCGCCTTCATATTTTACAGAATTTTTAGAATTCTGGTATGTGACTTGGTCACTCACACATGGCAAGGTGCGTCTTGTCGAGCACTGGCTTCATGAGGCTGTGTTTTGTTTTCTTCTTATGAGCTGTGGCTGCAATTCTTCGCATCCCATTTTTCCTATACAGGTAGTTCCTGTACACCTGAAGCTGTGTGATGATCCATTTGAATCTTTCCTTCATTTCCCCCCAACCCCCAACTTTTCCTTAGGACTCTTGACGCGCAATTTAATTCTGTTAAGTCTGGTCAAAGTGAAAACTTTGGAAAAATGCTTTGAGAGCTAATTTCCTGTGCGGACCAGGTTCTAGATTAAGCTGTGTTGTCAGATTGTTCTAACTGACAATGGATTCTTATATATTCTGAGGATGCTTCCTTCCCCTGGTGCTCGTATCATTGAAAACTCATTAGCAGGCAGAATGGTTGTCCAACGTGCTTTCTATCTCCAGTAACCACGCGCCAATATTCCTCTTTATCTCTACCTTTGAGGCTACTTTAAGTGAATCCAGAACTTGAAATACTCCTGTACTAACTCAGTTTAGTAATTCTTTATTAATTTGGACTTGCAATGCATATTTTAAGTAGCTATTGACATAATTTCATGTATTGATTTTTCTTGAATTCCAGTATTTTAAGAATCACTGAGAGTTATAGGAATGCATGGCAGAACCATCATACATGTACATGGAACCACCTAATTATGGTACTATCCCTGAAAATGGCAAAGTTCTGTAGAGTATTTGATCAATACATGTCTTTTGAGTGACTGAGTTACAGGAGACTGGAGAATATAAAATATAAAATAACGAAGATTGGGGAAATGAATGGTAATAGTAAAAAACTAAATATGAAATCTTCTCTTTGTGAGCATATAAAACATGAAATGTTACATATATGGTGCAATTCTAATCCTTTGGATAGGAAAATGCATACATATGTATTAGGTCATCTGTATATCTATGTGTATATTTGTGTGTGTATGTATATATTTATCCATTTTATATATGTATTAACATAGGAATGTATATTATATACCATATACATATAATATATCACATACTTTTATGCAGATATGGTAAATATATTTTCTTATATATTAATAATTATATAATTCCAGATTATATAATATATATAACATATAACCCATGTATACATATATACATGCAGACATGTACAAACTCTATATTTTTCATGTTTTCATGTTTATACACACACACACATATATACTTTTTCCTTTTAACTTTCCTTAGCGTTCTCACCAGTTATAGAACTACCGGAGAGAATCTTTCTAAAATTTTCTCAAGACTTTACTTAAACAGAAAAATGCAGAGTATTTAAATACAAGAGTATTAGCTCAATTATTTAAGCAGGAAATGAACCAACATTCTATAAAAATAACTTTCCTAGTACCATTTTCTTTTTCTTTCCAGGAAGAGAGGTTTATTAATTCAGGGATGCTTTCCTGGAAATCATGACTTTAGGGGAAATAGGTAAAAATCAGCCGAACAGTCAGCACAAATACTTACTAGAAACCTGTAAATGACAGTTGATTTACTCTGTGTGAGCTTCGTTTTTCTCACTTACCGCCTATGTTTATTACAAAAAAATAAAGCAAAAAGGAAATTTGATACAAAATTTGACAGTTCTAATTTTTTACAAACTCAAAACTGGTAGTAAAAACAGTGTTCTTTTAGTACAAAGACAGCGAGAGCAAGAAGGTATAAAGTCCAGCTTTTACACACGTCCCTGTGGGCGTTTCTCAACACGTTTGTTCCCTTCTTTATTTACATTCTTTAAAAATAATGGTATCTTTGCATGACTTCAGTACTAAGAGACACTAAAAATTACACTCGGCGGGGAGGGACCAAGAATGCTAGCATTGAAACATCAGGTATCTAGCATCTTCTTATTTTTTTGGATTGTCAGTGGATTTTCTCTTTATTAGGACCCTGGAAAGAGATTCTTTGTCCTGGACTGAGTAAATTAGAAAATAAAAAAAAGCTTGTCAGTCTCTTTTACACTAGTCATTGAAGGGCTCTGCTGTGGTTCTGCTCAAAGGATTACAGATTTAGGGAGCTTTTATTACATCGTTCAGTGGCTTTCTCTATTTGGCCATTTACGCAGCACTTAATAGATGGAGCTGAATTGTGGGAGATTGCCAGGTGAACTTTGACAGAGACTCATTTGCTCTTGAGCTGGACAAGCAGTTCAAATGTGAAGCTGAGAGGAAACATTTGCTAATAGACAGTGGAACACGTTTAAATCGGAACTTCTGTAATTAAATGTCTTTGGTTTGTTGGAGGAGAGAGCTAATGTCCCTGGAAGCTTGACCTCCAAGTGGATCGGTCAGCCTTCTACCAGAAAATATTTATTCAATTCGAACAGTGAAGGAGAAAATGTGAATTTCCTGGGACACACTGAAGCCAGCTGTCAACAAGTCACTGTTCAAAACACAAACCGTTAGCAGCATGTACAATTGTGGAAATAGCTTTGCTGATATATTTATAGTTAATTGCAGTATCATATATCGCTATGAACTTTTCCAAGGGTCTGTCTGAACACTAAGGCATGATTTTTGTGAAGTTTTGGACCCAGAGCCAAGCGCATTCTATTAGGAAGCTTTATTTCTAAGACTGAGAGACCCACAGATCACACACTTGCATGGAGTACTTGTAAGAATATTGTGTTACCTGTTCTCATGGACGCAGGAGCCACTCATTCTGCAGCCTAACATCTAGTCAGGGCGCACACCGGGTGAGCCACATGGCAGATTCTAGTGAATAATTATAGAATCAGTGCCTGAGACATGCTCACTGCTTAACAGGAGCAAATACCCGTTTCAAACCAATGGTTATCGTGACTTCAATAAAACATCTTCCCAGGGTTTTTTAAAAAAAATCGTAAGTTCTTGAAGAAGTCTTTGTGGTTTAAAGAAAAATCTCACACACAGCACAGTGACTAATTAATCATCCTGTGTGCATTCTTGAAATTTGGTAAGAGACCATACGGTCTTGCATGGCTGGGCTCTTTCGCTTGATAGCGGTGATCATGCTCCCCGCGGATGTCAGTCACACCGTCCTCGCGTGTATGCCTCAGGCGGATACGGTGCTATTTGTTAGGAAAGCTGGGGGCCTGGGAAAAGAAGAAAGAAATGTGTACATGTGGGTGTCTGTCCTATGAAGACTTACGTCTGGTCAGAGCTGGCACAGGTGTGGCATTGTAGAGAGGGATATGGCATGCGGGGTCTGGCTCTGTTTTCCGGTCCTGCCTCCCCCACACGGTCCTTCTGCGCAAAGACAAGAAATGAAGTCTCCTGGCTGCATCACTGTTTGTCTAGTGGGGACGGTGACACCACGCTCCTGGGGCTGCTGCCATTCTCTTCTCCTGGGGGAGCTTCTTGTCCAGGGGGCACCCTGCTCTCTCCCCCTGAGTGTTTGCTCAGGCCTCCATGTACCTTGTATGGCTCTTATTGTCCTGGAACGCGGGTATCTCTGACCAGGCAAACTCCTGCTGGGCCAGCGATAGTGTCTGTCACTAGTCTTTAGTGACTCACTGGAAACAGCACAATAGTCCATACACAATGTAAGGCACCCTACATTTATGATGTGCCATAAACTATATTCCCTGTGTATATTCTCTATAACCACAGCTACTATATATATAGCTGTATAATATGCAAATGGAAAATGCATATAAATATCTATTTATAAATAGCATAAATCAGTTTAACACAGTGTATATTCAGTGCATTTAATTATAAGCAGCTTGTAATTACACATGATTAACAAAATGTTAAGTATATATAAGTGCAATTATGTATTACTGCATTAGGTATTGAAAACATATGTACAACCACATAACCACTTATAATGATGTATTCTTATAGAAGTACGCATTGTAATTTGCATGTAAATCAATTTAAATATTTGTACATTGTATTATATCACTTAAACCATGACAGCACATTTCTATTCTATGGTGTATTTTAACCCTCACTAGAGTGCATTGTACTGACGATCCATTCTCAGAAGTCTCACATTCGTCCAGTCCAATAAAATATTTAAGATGCTACGTAGCATCTATACCCAGCATTAGTCAACTATGTGGTATTTGGGGATAGATAAAATACACCTAATACTTCCTGTGGGTTGTTTTGTGTGTTTTTTTTTTTTTTGTATTTTTCTTGGCTTAGATATCATATAAGATCTTACAGCCATATTTGAATCAAGAGATCTCTCTCAGTTACGATATAACTAGCACTCAGAAACAGCATGTTAAGCACTTATATTTCACCGTTTTAACCATTTTCAGATGTACAGTGGCCTTGACCACATTCACCGCGTGTACAACTATCTCCCCACTCCAGCCCCAGACCATCTCATCATCCCCAAAGGAAACGCCTCTCAATTAAGCTTTCTCCATCGCCCCTTCCTGTAGACCCGTGACAATTCCGGTATTGATAACAGCTGTTCAAACAGATACCTGGGCATGAATGTTCATAGCAGCGCTATTCCAACAGCCCAAAGGTGGAAGCGCCCCACCCCCACCCCAGTGCCTGTCAAAGGGTTGGTGGATATAAAAAAAGTGGGAAATCCCTACAGTGGACTATGCAGTGTGTATTTTTCATTCATTCTTCGTCCTATTTTGCTTTCTTACCCCTGTTCCAGAATATATACCAGTGAGCAGCAGACTCAGAAAACATGATGTGAAGGTGTTAGAAAGACTTGGAGGTGGAACGAAAGGACAAAGTCCACTTGGAGGACACGGGATGTACATGGAGGGCACAGGGGGACAATGGAGGGGCAGTCAGCTCGCGTGGACAGTGAGGCACTCTCAGAGCCGCATTTAATGGCTTTACATGTGTTACAGCTCTGCCCAGTAGGAGCATTTATTTATTGAATTCCAGACTCGGTCTCAGGCGTGTGTGGCAATTGCATGCAGATGATTGCTTTCCTGTAATGGAAAAATGTCTCCAAGGGTGGAAGCTCGAGGATTTGCTGCAGAGAATGCCCAAATTTGGCCTCATTCAGGGACATTTTAAATTCTACGCTATTAGAGCTAATGACTGTAATGCTCTCAATCAAAATCTGCGTAAGAGTAATATTTCGATATGTCTGTTCTTCCATAAAATAACATGTTATATATTTTTTCTGTATATACTATCTCATTTATTTATTTATTTATTTTGACATCATAATCTACAATTACATGAGCAACATTATGGTTGCTAGAGTCCCCCCATCATCAAGTCCCCCCCACATGCCCCTCACAGTCACTGTCCATCAGTGTAGTAAGATGCTGTAGAATCACTACTTGTCTTCTCTGTGTTGTACAGGCCTCCCCATGTTGCCCCCAACATTATGTCTGCTAATCGTAATGCCCCTTTTTTTTCCCTTATTCCCTCCCTTCCGACCCATTCTCCCCAGTCCCTTTCCCTTTGGTAACTGTTAGTCCATTCTTGGGTTCTGTGAGTCTGCTGCTGTTTGAAACATGTTCTATTTTATCCACTTTTATCAAAATAATTTTACAATTTCATGATAATACAGGGTAGATCTTGAACATGGTTTTTCCAAGGAATGGCCTCGAGTATTGACAAATGTAGTTTAAAAGAAAAGCTGGACCTGCGGACTACTGAGAGTCCCCTTCCAAATATGTTCAATGCTCTTACTAGTTGAATCGCTTTCATTTTTTGGTCTGTATCTCCTATCAAGGAATGTATTTCAATTTGATTTATATTCACAGGTCTTTGTGTATGAACTCCCATCACTCCAGTTCATCCTACATGAAGGCAGATAACCAGTAACACACCAGTGTACCTGTGTTTACTGAGTCTCAAAATAATGTAGCAATACAGGCAGCTACCAGCTTTCCCTGCAGTTCCAAAATTACATGAGGACCTAAAAACTTTCAGCTGCTGCAGATAGACACTCAAGGCTCCTTGTTTACTACTAGTTTTATCGTGAAGGGTTTAGGATCTGGTGATGTGAATGCCTGCTAGTCCAGAGATATGACACATGGAATTTCCCAAAGGAATCTGGCCAAGGGCCACTTCTCTGGAAACCACTTAAAGATGTTCTTGTTGAGGAGAACCCAGGTTAGGATAGACTGACATAAACTTACCCCTTAGGAGTTAAAAAAAAAAAAACCAGTTCATATGAAAAAATAAATAAATGCTATAACTCACTGGACGGGTGATCATGGCAGCTGGTGGGTGAAGACGAGGAATGCTACTAAACCTTGTGCAATACCAGGAATCTCGGCAAAGAATGATCTCACCTGCAAGTGTCAATATTGCCACAGCTGAGGCCTCCTGCTCTGAAGGTCGAAACTTGGATGCTGAGTCAGTCGTCATGTGGGTGCATTGATGGCATGCAAATTAGTTTGGATCTGGGCATTAAACTGAGGCTGGAGCCTGTTGCATAAAGTGTCAACCTGGTCGCCTGGGACCAGCCATGTGACCATCGCCTAATTCTTCCTGTATGTTTCTGGCTCCTGATGTCCAACAGAAGGGCCGGGTCCTGGGCTGGAATGAGCTGCCCGTCTCAGGGGTGCTCATTCCTGCACAAGTGCTTCAGCAGGATGGCACATTCGGGGAACACCGCCTCCCCACTCCTTCTCGAGGTGGATCTGAAGGCAAGTAGGAGTCTGCCTCAGCCTAGCCCCTCTGTGTCACTTGCCAAGGGTAGGTAGCTTCGGACGCCTCCTTGGGGACCATGGTTCCGAGTCACCGGAATCGCTCCATCCCTCTGGCTGACCCTGCCTCTGTTTTCCCCCAGGATCCTAGCCTGGTTTTCTGAAAGTTTTGTGAAGTAAGAGTTAACAAATAGGCATGTCATATGCTTTCACGAACACAGTTCCAATGCTCATATAAAGCTTACAGGCTTGGCAGTGAGAAAATAACATATAAGCACCATATTTGCTCTCATTTTCACCAGTTAGGAAAGCCTGCGTCTCAGTCCTATAGAGCTAATTTATTTCAGGAAATACAACCAGTTTTGGGGGGGCAACCAGGATGCCTATTTCTTCACAGGTAATTCAGCCTGCTCTTGCACCTTAGAAGCTCATGTGGAGAGCAAAGCATCTTCATGATTCTTTGCTCATGCTTTGACACGTATTAAATATAAAGAATTTCTCAGTCCAGGTGAAGACTGGGAGGACGGACTATCAAGTCAAAGGAGTATCATTTTTAGCAAAAGAAAAAAATTTGCAATTTCCTCCGGCCCACTGGTTTGACTAAGGTCCTCAGAATTCTCCAGGGTTCTGTGCTCCCTGCCTGATCGGTTGAGCCTGGGACTCGGACACCTCGACTCAGGAGGAAGAGATTTAAAATTCTCTTTGTACCTGCAAAAGAGCCTCTTTCGGGTCATTCATGGGATGACTCTGCCATATTCACCATCACTTGGTTGGACGTTGATGAGATATAAGTCAAATTCTGCGAATGTCCCTATTTCCTTAACATCTGTGTAGGATTCTGTCCTATGCAACACACTCTGTAATCATGGATGTGGCTGTTTTCCCCCAAACCATGGTGGAAGAGGATATCATTGCTGCCACACCACTGTGTATGGACCGTATGCATGCAGCCTGTTCACTGTTTTGCACAGACATGCTTTTATCTTCTTTCTTTCCTTTTTTTTTTTTTTTTTGTTTTTTTTTTTTTTCTGCTGCATTAGCAGAGTATGTGATCTACTGGCTGCAAAGACAAAATATTTACTACAGGAACAAGAAACAAACACAACTCCTGATAGTATGTCTGTGACTCAACACAACCTCTCTCCTACCAGTTTCATTGAGAATTGTGAAATATCTTGATTCTTGAAGCTCTTACATTCATTTGGGAAGTCAGCAGGCTTCATTCCACTCCATGTCTTGCTCACTGATCCCAAACTGAGCCTGGACCAGTAATACCTGGGTGAGAATATTCCTCCCATTATAGGCATTTTAAAATCACACCCTTAAGAAAATCAGTCTGAATGTCATCATTTCACACCAAGATGCTTCCAGGAAATGCACAATTCATCCTAAACAGAATGCTCTCCTGACTCACTGTCGACCCAATTTTCTTGACATTTGTGTGTCAGTTCTTTTCTGTGCAACACAAATATGGTAACTTTCTTCACAGACAGTATGAATGTATATAAATCAATTTATTCAATCACTTGGGAATCTAGTAACATCAGATAGATTATAGAAGGTGACTGTGGGGAAAACACTGAGGCTAAGATCATGGCTTCCTAGGAAAGAAGAAATTATGACTTGAAAGGAAAGGTGATTTTCTCTTCATAGCGATGAGTCTGCTCATTGGGACGATGATGCTTATATCCTTGGCGTCACTATCCACTTTGCATGTTGAAAAAACATTTAATAACACAGATGAGCTGATGGTATGATTTTGGTGGGAGTGAGAAAGGAAAGATACATGCATTTTCTGGAGAAAACAGTGGAGGAGTTTTCCTGGGAACTCATGTTGCAAACGCCATCTGTGTATGTGACACCCTGCTGCACATGGGGGTCTGTGTAGACTGTTCCATAGGATGCAATTATTGTGTGCCATCTGGACCTCTGTGGAGGTTTCCTAAGGTACCTATTCATGGCTACATGGCGTGGAAATGAGATACCATCTAAGTCTGTGCCACTTCCATCTTCTGTAAGTCTTACGTGTAATTGTAAGATACTGTGTTCACCCTGGAATTTTCCAGAGCGTATCACATTTCTCAGTTCACTGCCTCCCCATATTTCTCCCCTCTGTCCTTCCACAATCCCACTGTAGGGTCTAGATCTGTGTTACTGCTTTGCGTCATTGATAAACACATGCTGTTCTATGTCCTCAGCCTTAGCCACTGTCACCCTTGATGCAGGACTGTTTGTCCTTCTGGACTGAAGCAGTAACCCTCAAATCAACTAAAAAATGTCAGAAGGTGAATATATGGTGTCTACTCACCTAATGGACGATCAGAGGACAGGTGTCTGTGAAAGAGAATGATCGGGGGTGAGCAAACAAGCGTTGAAGGTATTCAATATTCTTAAAGATCATTTCATAGCAGCCTTTATAGAAGGTAGTCTTGGGAAGAGGAAATGTGAAACGAGAATCCCACAGAGATGACATCGGGATGAATATCCTGTTGTAGGATTTTACCTGTTATGGTGACATCTTCTATCTTTTCTCCTGTAATACCCTTTTTCTGACTGAAGTTTTTGAAGTTGTCATATTCCCTTTTCTTGATTTGAGGGACTTTGGCTGCATTGAAAGCACATAAGGTGGACAGATGTCCATTAGCACCCTTCCTACTTTTGAAATCAGTCCTTGTGTCATAACACTATTGTTGCATACATCTCACTCTCCCCACCCTTTTACCCCCGGTCCGTTCATGCTGCTCAACAACGTGGTTTTCAAGGAAGGTGCCTGAGTGTTAGATCTGGTCTTCAGAGCTACCATGGGTAGAGTCTGCATATTTAACATTCTTATTTGTCTTGTGTTCTTAGAACGACTAAGAACATGGAGGGCTATTCACTCCAATGCCACCACAGTCTCCCGTTTGGACCATCTGCAAAGGTCCATCTGGGGAAACGATGTGTTTGGGCCTGAGAGTTCAGAATTTCTACAAACTCGGGTCCCTTTCACTCTGCATTCTAGAATCTGTCCCCTGATCCTCCTGAACCCAAATCTAAGGAGTGGGAAACATGATTTGTACATCCCGCCACGCACACTAGCCTTGTCACGTGTGTCGATAGAAGTAAGTAAATACACTTAGTCTTCATCGTTGTCAAAGACGAGATTCCACCCTCTTCCCCGTCCAATGTGGACGTAATAAAGAAAAGTGAGGATCCAGGTGGAATTAGCCACAGGTCACTTGGTTGGCTTGCCCTAATCAGTGCCTCTGAGTGCTGTGATATGATGCGCTGTTCATTTGCAGGGCAGGGTGTTCAAGTCTTAGGCATTATTTCCACAAGAGCGATAAAATCAGGCATTTGTGTTGAGACGGATTCAGTTACAACGGGAAGCTCGTCTTTAGAACTCAGATGTTAAATCTTGGCTCCGTTCCGGGACAGAACCCAGCCATTCCCACGTGTGATGTTTGTCCAGAGCTTCACGGATTATCCTGGTGTATTTATTAGATATCCAGAATAAGTGTGTATCTTAGAAAAGCTATCCTGTAGATCCTCGCAGAACATCCATTTCCTCATTTCCCATAGACAAATTTTCAGCATCTCTAACACAGCAGACAGCTTGAATTCTCAAGCACAAACCTATTTCTGCATGAGTGTGCTTAATAAAAAAGCACACATATATTGGTGACCCTTGAACAATACCTGGTATGAGCTGCATGGGTCCACACATGCATGAATTCTTCCATCAATATATTGGAAGAATCTTTGGAGATTTGTGACCACTGGAAACACATTTTCTTTTCTCTAGTTCACTGAATATAGGAATACAGTATAAAGTACAAAATATGTGTCAATTGACTGTCTATGTTTTTGACATGAGTCTTTGCATAGCAATAGGCTCCCCGAAGCCCCACATTGTTCAGGAGGTAAGTGTATGTACTTCTCTCCTTAATATAAATAATATAGATAATATTATCATATCTCATTTGCACAGAACCAGCTACGATACATACCAAGGAGTTCAGTCACAACTGTCTTTTTGCCGTCTGCGTCAGTATGTTCTGCATAAATCAGCAAGACGCCTCTTGATGTAACAGTAAACTTGAAAGAAATTTTACCCTTGACTGTGATAGGAAAAAAAATTTCAGAGCAGAATTGGATTAAGATTTTTCAATTTCATTTTAATATGTCCTGCTTTTTTTTTTTTTGGTATCCATGTACCATTACACGAGCAACATTATGGTTACTAGACTCCCCCCATCATCAAGTCCCCCCCCACATACCCCATTACAGTCACTGTCCATCAGCATAGTAAGATGCTATAGAATCACTACTTGTCTTCTCTGTGTTGTACTGCCCTCCCCGTATGCATCCCCCGTACATTATGTGTGCTAATCATAATGCCCCCCTTTCCCATGGGGACTATATCAAGCTGAAAAGCTTCTGTGCAGCAAAGGACACCATCAATAGGACAAGAAGGCATCCTACAGTATGGGAGAATATATTCACAAATGACAGATCCGATAAGGGGTTGACATCCAAAAGACAGAAAGAGCTCACACACCTCCACAAACCAAAAGCAAATAATCCAATTAAAAAATGGGCAGAGGATCTGAACAGACACTTCTCCAAAGAAGAAATTCAAGATGGCCAACAGGCACATGAAAAGATGCTCCACATCGCTAATATGTCCTACTTTTAACACACTATTGTTACCTTTCCTCCATCAGTTCCCTGAGGCTAACGTTCCTCCCACTGTGTTAGAATCTGTTAAGGAATGAACTGATAAAGAGATACTCTTTACATATCTGCCTTTTTTTTAAATGGTCCCAGCTTGTGAACTTAGCTAAACAAGAACAGGCTTTACCCAAACATGAACAGTTGTGGGTGATGGCAATGTCCCTTCTTGTAGTACTTAGAGGTACATGACAGGCTGTAGGAAAGAGCCCGCTCGGCAGCCCGTGAGAGCTGATGTGAGATTCTGAGGAATTGTGTGACCCACTCACCCAGGACAGCCCTTATTAAAAAGCAGCTGCATTATACTTACACCTAAAGTCAGTCATATTGAAATGCAATGTAGTACATAGTCAAAACATGTCATTTGCTCATTCAATAGCTTGTCAGAGAGTTAGTAAACATGCTATTGGATGTGGGACACCTATATTCTATAATTACATCCCAGTTACATTCTGTTACTATGTACTTATATTACAAATTAAAGTAATTTGTCAGAGCAAGATTAGAACACTACACGTTCTTCCCCATACAGATCAAACATTTTGTCATTTGGTCAGTGAATATTACAGTACTGATGTTTGAAAATATGTGCAGTTATTTTAATTTAGAGAGAGAGAAGTCTGCACTAAGGGCCTTCATTGCTTTCAGCAAAAGCCCAAATTATAATAGAAATTGGTTTCCAAGTTTAACAGTTAATTCAACTACATTCTCATACTTATCTTTGGGATTCAGTTAACACTTCACATAATAAACAACATTTAATATTTAAAGAATTTTAGTTATAGGCAAAGTTGACTTGTGTTGGTCATGTGACAGATAAGAAATTTTTGTAAGAATTGGTGTAATTTTAAGTAGCTCTAAACACATTCCCATCCTGAGGACAGGTGAGGTCAATGCTCTGGGACGTGTTCTCAGATATTGTCCATAGCACCATTCCAGACCTGGCCCTTACCCTGACTTTGGGAGACAGCAAATGCTTGGCAAAGGAAATGTCTTTCCCAAGGTTGGATTGGTAACGAGTAGTAGACATTGACTGGGTTCCAGATCTGGATATTTTGCATAGAACAAAGGCTGTTAATTTAAGCATGTTCCCTGCTTCGAGAAGATACACTCAGGCGAGAAGCTCATGTACTCACAGTCTACCTCGTATGTGTCATTTTCTCTTTTCGTTGACTCGATTGAATGAGTTTGGCAGATGCCATTCACCCTAAAAATGAAACACACAAGGCGTCCTTTATTCCTCACGCTTTCCTTAGCACTTGGGGGCCTGCAGAAGTGTGAATGCGTTTCGATTGCTAAAAATAGTAGATGCTGTGAATTTACAGTCATCTAACTCCCCACACCACTGGGTTCTTCCCTTTAGTCTAATACAGGGCTTTAACCTCGGAGCTGTGGACATGTTGGCCTGGATAGTCCATGATGTGGGGTGTGCTGTGCATGGGAGGGGGAGCAGCAGAGTCCCCGGGCTCCGCCCACGTGGTGCCAGTAGCCCCACCCCTAAAAGTGACAGCCCAAACTGCCTGCGGGCACCGCCACGTAGCCTGTAGGGGGAGGGCAGAATGTCACCTCGTGTTCAGGATTGCTGCTCAATTCCTTTGATATAAACCATCCCCCCTTCCCTATTTCTTTCTTTCTACTGTCCGTTTCTCTGCCTCTGCCCTAAATGCTGGTGCTCGTATAGATCCTGAAGTCCCCACACTCTCTAAGCTAACGCTTCAACTTCTGGGACTACAGGTTACAGAGATTTAAGAAGAACATTCAGACGGACACATACAGAGATATAAATATAGATAGACACAGACGTAGAGACATGGTCATATTCACTACCACTCATTGATCTGCTGATTATAAATCCATCATTCACGTCCTGAACTTACAGCTGATATACAACTTTGTTATTGTTACTTAAATATATATTTTTCTCTGCAGTCTGTTATTCTCTCCTTTGGTCTAGTGGCTGCTTCTTTTCCATTTGAACAGATGGACAAGTTCAAACTGTTGCATTTAAATTGAGACTTAGACTATTCCTAGTCTAAATTTTTCTTAAAATGTTTCTCTCCCTCCTACCTATGTATACTTATACCATGGTCAAAATTCTCCTTAATTATTGTCCTGAACACAGTCTTACCATAAGAGTTTCTAGACGACTGGTGTTTGGAAAACAAATGTTATATTCCTTTATTTAAAAGCCTACATCCATGCTAATCCCCCACACAACACAAATAAAACTCATATTTTTGACGTGAGAAATGCCCCAGAACACAGTTGAGTTTGTTTCGACTAGGTTTTCTGCACCCACTTACTTAGCAGAATGCCTGCAATAGACTGGACATTCTATAAACCGTACTGATTGCATGAGAGTTCTACTTATTGATTGAAACTTTTCTGCAAAACAGCAGGTGGACAATCTTTTGTGTGTAGCCCTTCACACTGAAGGGTACCTGGCTTGGAGACACCTATTACATGGCAAGGATTTAATCTGTAAGAAACATTAGAGAATCTGGTTCCAATAAGTGCAAAAAGTCTGAAGAAGGAGACACACTGGTCCTCAGAGTAGGACTGCCATGGCCATGACTTATACTTTGAGGACAAGGTTCTTTCCTGACAGCCTTCCTAGCGCTGTTTCTGAACGATACACTCCCAACACAGCAGCCCAACTCCGATGCCTCTAAGACAAGGCTACATGCTTGCGCAGGGGGCTGAAGCCAAGGACAGTACAGCAAACTGAGAACAGCATTCTATCAATGAACTTCAGAGCCTCAAATTCTTGAACACAATACTGGCATTTCCCTGCAAATTTGAAAGTGGACCAGAAGCAAGTCAGAAGTCAAAAATTTTATCGCATTAAGCCAGGCAAATTTTTCTTACTTGGTATAGAAATCAATGTTGATTTTATCGCAACCCTCACTGCATCGAAGCCGACGGATGTAAAACCTCAGTTCGCCATTTTCTGTGATCTTCTTAGTGTCGTTTGCTGCTTTTAGCACACTGTACCAATCCCCTGGGATCTAGAAAAAAAAGTCCCTTTAAGAAACATGGGTCAATCTTTTAATCTTTCTTCTGACCAATCATTGCCATTGGTTCTATTTTACCTCAAAAGAAAAAGCAAATGTGATTTTTAGCAAGCACTGTAGGTTTCTAGTCCCTACCTAGTACAATGATATGAAATGAAGGAACAATACATATTCCAAGTAAAGGATAGACTCGGAACTTCTTAAAACAGCTATAATCTTGCCTTGGAGTTCCATGGCAACTCAGAGCTATCATTTTGGCACATACATGTTTTTTTTTTCACCTGAAAATTAAATGTAAAAATATAAATAGCTGAAAGAGAGGGTTTGTTCAGTCCTTATGGAGAGGCATAGACCAATGTGTGCATTAAACCTGATGCAGCCATACAAACAAAAGAGTGAGAAACAGACGTACACAGTATGAAGACTTCCACCCAGATGACTGGATCCTGGATACCGATGGGTAATCGTCTTCAGATGCAGGTTCATGGTTCGCGGAAACCAGACCGAGTAAGAGGGTCAGCAGCAGAGCCCGCATCTTCATTGTACCTGCTGTCCTTCTGCAGCAGCTGGGAGAGTGCCCGGTGTTGGAGAGCATCTCAGTCTGTGCCGCTTCTTATAGGATTGGATGTGGGCGTGACATGTAATGAGCCAGTGGTTGTGAATCAGGACACCGTGTTTACATGTGAAGTCTTCTTATCCTGTTTGGCAATGATGAGGTTTAATGGCATACTGTTGTTTTAATAATGAGAGTAGGTTTCAGGGAAGTTTAAGTTGGTCTGTATATTTGACATTTAGAATAAGTGACAGATCGTAATACATAGAGCTATTTAAAGGATACCGTGTGTGTGCTTTTGGGCCTCTTTCACTCATGATTATTGTGATAGTGGCTATGCTGTTACTCATAGAGGCTGTTTCATTTTACCATTGATTAGTGTTCTATGGATCTGTCCCATATATGTCCATTGAAATATTGATGAATGCATATTCATGGACGCGTCTCAAAGGTCTATCTCTTGGACACATGCTCATGAGATACTTAACCACTCATGAGAAATAATAGCAGAGTGTCCTTGAGATATTTTGTGATTCTGCAGACTCAGGCGTAAGGAGACAAGACTTAGCAACTTATGTTTATATTGCACCCCCTTTGGGGGTTTTTCCCTCGTTCAGATGGCCATTTCTACACCTGGGACCCATGTCTATCGTGAACCATTGGTGGTGTTCATCATCCCCTAGTATGTGAAGTATTGAAGAACAAACCCACATTTGCTTATAAGCAAACATCTCAGGGCTGTCCATGGGCAGGCTTCTCATGTGGATAGGAATGTATTTCATATATTTCATCTTTTGTTTCTGTTGATTGGGAGCAGAAGTGGGTATTTTCCCTTAATACTTAAGCAGATTCTAGAAGCTAACCAACCCTGTTTAGTATTTCCTTATTTCTGTTTGCATGACCGTGGATTTCTCACTTGTCGTCTGTATGAATTGCTGATGCAAGGGCCTCAAGCTTTTAAAGCACTATGACCCATGTTACACACCTGTTTTACCACCTGGAACATGAGCTGGACTCATATATGTGAGGCACCGTCTCTGCAAATTGACCTCTAAATATTTCATCTGCTGTTGCATGTTAAAGTCATGAAACAGATGAGAGAGAGTGAGGATGTCGCAGAGAACCATACATCCATGAAGAACACACTCCCCTGTGCAGGGTTTCAGGGCCGGAGATGTAACAGTGGGGAAAGACCATCGCAGGTCTGTGTGTGTCAACATTCATGAACTTCAGTCCATCCTCCATGAAGCTAGGTAACTGGTAAGACATCATCGAATGTAATGATAATTGCATCCTTCCGTAGTTGCTTTGTCTCATTAAATGTCTCCCCTGCACTTTAGATTAGTTCCAAATCCTTCTTGTTTAAATGCCTTGTGATCATTTCTGTGTCCTTCTCCCAACTTCTCACTGGACCCTATATTCCCTGCCTAGAGGCTTGCTCCTTCTTATCACTATAAATGCTTTTCCTTCAAAAGTGCTGTTTCATCCCCCTCTGTTACGTCAGATCACTGTATGTTGGTTTTCCTGAGGCTCAAAGCCGTTACTGAGAGATGAGTGTGTTTTTGTGTCAGGGAACCAAGCCCAAGCCTCTTTTCTGTAGTCCGAGCACCCTCTCCCACCTGTGTCGTGGCATCGGTGGGAAATTTACGTCACATCATAAAAGAACCACCTGTAACACCGTACCTCCCATTTTCCCTTCTCACCAAGACACTCCCAGGGAATGAACAATTCATGCTAAACAGACTGATCCGGCTCACTGTCGACCCGGTTTTTCCGGACAATTGTGTGTCGGTTTTTTCTGTGCAATACAAATACGGTATCTCTCTTTACAGACAATAGGAGTGTGCATAAATCAATTTATTCAATCACTCAGGAATCTAGTAACAGAGAGGGTTTAGAGGGTGACTGGGGGAAAGCGTGGAGGCCAAGACGGTTTCCTAGGAAAGAAGAAATTATGACTTGACAGAAAAGGTGATTTTCTCTTCACGGCGATGAGTCTGCTCATTGGGACGATGATGCTTATTTCCTTGATGCCATTTTCCACTTTGCATGTAGAAAAAACATATAAAAACATAGATGAGCTGATGGCATGACTTTGGTGGGAGTGACAAAGGAAAGATCCATGCAATTTCCGGAGAGAACAGTGGAGGAATTTTCCTAGGGACGCATGTCACAAATGTCATGTGCGTATGTGATACCCTGGTGCACACAGGGGTCTGTGTAGACTGTTCTTTAGAAATGCAATTATTGGGAGTCATCTGTATGTGGACCTGTGTGGAGGCTTCCTAAGGTACCTAATCATGGCTGCATGGCATGGGGATGACATACCGTGGACGCCTGTGTCACCTCATACTCTTTAATTCTTACATATAATTGTAAAAGACATGTGAGCACACGATACTCTGTTCACAATGAAATTCTCCCGAGTTTATCGTATCTCTCAGTTCACTGCCTCCCCAGAGTTTCCCCTTTGTCCTTCCAGAATCCCACTGTAGACTCTCGTTCACTGTTATTTTTTGTTTGTTTGTTTGGATTTTTAAAACTGCATATTGCTCCAAATCCTAAGACTTAGCCATTGCCAGTCACAAGGTAGGATTGATTTGTCATCAGTAGTTAAAGCAGAAACCCCCAACACCAAAGTCTTTATCTACCAAGAAAATCATGGCACATCTTACCACATCTACTCACCTAACCGATGGTCAGAGGACAGGTGTCTGTGGAAGAGAATGACAGGGGTGAGTTGGTCCCTGACGTTTCTCAATATTATGTAGTATTTCACACCAGCCTTTATAAAAGGTGGTTGTGGCAAGAGGAAATTTGAACCAAGAATCTCATTGGGGATCTGCTCATCCAGCAAAATGTTATACTCAAGGACTTTACCTTCTTTGATGACTTCTAGAATGTTCTCTGCTCTAATACCCTTGGACTCAGTGAAGACCTTGAATTCCTCATATCCCTCTTTGCTGACGTCCCGTCTTTTCACTGTATTTCGTAGCAGATCATGCAGAAGAGATGTGCATTAGATCCCTTCCTGTTCTGAATGGACCTGCCTAGGCCAAAGCTACACTGTGTGGTCCCTGCCTCCCTCCCAGTCCCCCGTCCCAGCAGCAGTACATACCAAGGAGCTCAGTGAACACCGTCTTCTTCCCGTCTGCAGCAGTATGGTCACCGTATATTTTCAAGATGTGCTGCAGCGAAAAACTCACCTGGAGATGGATTTTTACCCTGGACTGTGATAGGACGAAAAGAAATTCCAAAACTCACTGTGATTAACATTTGTAATTTCCTCTTAACTCGTCTTAGTTTTTACATAACGATTATGACCTTCATCAGTAATTTCTCATTAATGTCCTCACACAGTGGTAGGACCTGTTAGGAAAGGAACCGATGTATAGATGCTCTTAGATATCCCCAAATATGAACAGTTGTGGGTGATGGCAACATGCCTTCCTGTAGTACTTGTAGGTATATGACAGGCTGTAGAAAGGACCCTTCTCTTTCCAGCCCATGAGAGCTGATGTTACGTTTCAGGCATTTTGTAACCCAGAAACCCAGTGCCTCCCTTATTAAAAAGCAATTCTATAAACTTACACATAAAAATTTCAGTGATTTTGAATTACAGGCTGGGACATAATTAAAACATACCATTTACTTGTAAAATATGGAGTCAGAGAACTAGTATTTGAGTATCAGGATATAGAAGACACATGTATTCTGTAATTATATTCCAGTTAGAACCTGTTGCTGAGTATTAATCTTTAAAATAAAATTCATCAGAACAAGTTTACAACATTACATTATGCATTTTTCCCCATAAAGATCAAACTTCTAAGAATTTTGAATTCAGAAGTCACTGAATATTACAGTATTGATGTTTGAAGATTACGTGCAGTTGTTTTAAACTAAAGAGATCAAAGTCAGCCCTAAACACCCTCATTGCTTTCAACCAAAGCTCGATATTATGTACAAATTGGTTTCCAAATATAACTGTTAGTTCAGTTACATTCTCATGCTTATCTTTAGGGTTCAATTAACCAGGTCATACTTAAACACTTTATGTAATCAACAACACTTAATATTTAAAGAATTTTAGTTAAAGGCGTAGTTGACCATGTTGGTTAAGTGAGAGACTGGAAAATTTATGGAAGAATTGGTATAGGTGAGGTCAGCGCTCTGGGGTGTGTTCTAAGGCATCGTCCATAGCACCATTCCAGACCTGGCTCCTCTCCTGATTTGGGGTGACAATAAATGCTTGGCAAAGGAAATGTCTTTCCCAAGGTTGCATTTGTAAAGAGTTGTAGACTTTGTCTGGGTTCCAGATCTGTATATGTTGCACAGAGCAAAGACCAGGAATTTGAACGCGTTCCCTGGTTCTAGAAGATAACCCTCAGGGGGAGAGATCATGTACTCACAGTCGGCCTCGTATATGCCATTTTCTGTTTTCCTTAACGCCAGTGTATGACTTTGGCATGTCCCATTCACCCTAAAAACGAAACAAAGCATCCTTTATTCCCCACCCTTTCCTTAGCACTTGAGGTCCTGCAGAAGTGCGAATGCATTTTGATTGCTAAAAATACTAGATGGTGTGAATTTATAGTCAACTAACAACCCACACCACTGGGTTCTTCCTTTTAGTCTAATACAGGGCTTTAACCTCGGAGCTGTGGACATGTTGGCCTGGATAGTCCATGATGTGGGGTGTGCTGTGCATGGGAGGGGGAGGAGCATAGTCCCTGGGCTCCGCCCACGTGGTGCCAGTAGCCCCGCCCCTAAAAGTGACAGCCCAAACTGCCTGCAGGCACCGCCACGTAGCCTGTAGGGGGAGGGCAGAATGTCACCTTGTGTTCAGGATTGCTGCTCTGTTCCTTTGATATAAACCATCCCACCTTCCCTATTTCTTTCTTTCTTCTGTACGTTTCTCTGCCTCTGCCCTAAATGCTGGTGCTCGTATAGATTCTGAGGTTCCCATGCTTTCTAAGCTAACGCTTCAACTTCTGGGAATACAGGCTCTACTGAGTTAGCAAGAAGACCGAGAAATATATAGTGAT